GGGTGTAGACGTAACTGCTTCAGACTTGCCGGTGTGGACAAGGATGCGGGCTGGCCCAGGCTTCCCGAGAAACCTTCCCTGGGGAATGTTCTCAAACGTGCGTTTTATCTCCTCGCGGATTTGCAGACTGACTGCATTGCCTTCGGTGATCACAGACGCGTTGCCTGTTTTTGTCTGATTTACAGAGGATTAAAATGAGCAGTTGGGCGCTGCCGTTCCCTGGTGCCTCCCTCCTGGACGCACGGGGCCTCGGGCTCGGGGCTCGGATGTGCAGCTCAGGGACCTCAGGACGGAAGTGGCTTGTATTTCCCTGCAGGCAGCAGCGTGCCGAGCGTGTTGTGGCAGAATTGGAATAGTTGACGTCGGGAGGAAAATGAGAGGGATCCGTCACCCCACAGTTATGTGGCCCGGGCAAGGGACACGTTCATTCAGTGCCTGGGCTGAGTTTCGAGAAGGGAGGCGGGCGATTGTGTCTAATTCCCCGGAGACGCTCACAGAGCTGGCAGCGACCTAACACGGAGGGTGCCCTGGCCGCCTGACCCTCCGTCTGCCCGCCCCCCACCTTCCTGCTCTGTCTGCCGTCAGTCCTCAGTGTCACCCCGGGCTGCCCCATTAAGCCTTGGGGGTCCCGGGGGACCGCGGCCCCTGCAGACTGTCAGTCCCACTGCCCCCAGCGTCCCGGGTCCTGGGTCACGGCTGTCCGTGCTGGGGATGCCCAGCCCAAGCCCGAGGTGAAGACGTGGTCCGTGTTTGTTGAGTGAATGAAGGAAAGCAAGCCAAAGAGACAGCACAGTTAACATTGTGTGATAAAATAGAACAAAAGGAAAGGTTTACTCTGTGTCCTGTTTGTTTGAGGGAACTGTGACACTGAGACAAACGGTGTCCCAGTGGTGTGTGTGTGTGTGTGGCCTCTCAGAGCTGAGGAGGGCCCGGAGGAGACCCCTTGGCCGCGTGTCTTCAGGGAGCTCCCCTTTGTGCTTGTTCCCATGTTTTTCTCTGTAGCTGTCACATTTCTGTCCCATCCACGGTGTCCCAGTAAACGTGGAACCAGAAAACCTGCTGAGCAGACATGCCATGAAGAAGGCCAACACTGTACATTTTTGATTTCTTAAAGCTTTATTCTGGGGTATTAATAGAAGTTGCTTTCCGGAATCCTAAACGTTTTTTAGTTTGTTCACGACAATAAGCTGGAAAATTCTGGCGACACAGGAAAGCATAAAGGAGAAAGCAGGACATCGCCCCAAACCCCAAGCCCGGAGCAACTCCTCGTTGGCCTTCTGGTCTAAGTCACAGTTTCTCCTCTGCTCTTCCGGGCTTTCCACGTGGCCGTGTGCCTGCCGAGGGGAAGGTGGCTTTTCCAGACGGTCACATGCCTTCCCCTCCGGGGCTGGCGGGCAGGGTTGTTGTGGTGACGGCCCTCCTTTCACGGAAGGACTGTCCCTTCGTCCCGGGGCAGTGGGGCCTTGGAGGTCCTGGTGTGTGTCTGGCTCACTGTAATTACCTTGGAGGGGACGCCCCAGGGGGAGGGGGTGACAGTCCCCTCAGGATGGCCCAGCAGCCGAGGGGTTCACTTCTTCAAATGCAGAGCTTGGAGTTCTCGCTTTGAGACAGTTACTTGTTTCACACCAAAGACCTTAGCTTTTTGACTTCACCTTAATGGGCCAGAGACGGGCTCTGAGGACGGCCGCTGAGACACCCGTCCCTCTGTACTGGGCGCAGAGGGTCCCGAGCCAGCCCGGCTCACTGGTCCCACGGCCAGCTCCTGCATATCTCTGTGTCCTGTCACCAGTTGCCCTGGAAAGAACACGTCCCTCTCCCCCTGCAGCCCCACGGCCAGGGGCTCCCTCTCCTCCCTGGCCCGGGTGCTGTACATGAAGGGTGGCCTTCCTGGAGGAGGCATGAAGCTCCAGCTCATGCCCCCTGAGAGGGACGTTGGGGCTGAATGGAGGCGGGGAGGGCAGCGGGGTCCTTCACGCCTCATTGGATGGGCCACATACTCAACAAACAGCGTGCTGTGTGTGCGGGTCACAGGGCAAGCCCTTGTCTGGGGCTGCCTCTGGGCCTTCCCCTTGTCCGCCCCCCGAGGTCCCTCCCTCAGAGGGATTTCCCTGGCCCGGCTCCCTGAGGCCAGCCCCTTCCCCGGGAGC